GTCTGTCTCTCACATCCATCTTTCTCCCTCCCTCCTTCCTTCCTCTCTTCCACTCTTGTCTAAAAATCAATGGAAAAATATCCTCAGGTGAGGATTAACAAAAAAATAAAACTAAAAAGGGCCACCAGACCAAAAGCAATGAAACATCCAATAAAATGGAAGCTCCCTAAAGGCAGCATCTCTGTATTGTTCACTACTGTCTTCCCAGCCTAGAAGGGTAGCTGAGACACAATAGATACCTAATAATTATTACTGGGTAAACAGATTTAATCTTTCAATTTTGCTTGTTTTTCTGTTTTTAAAATTTTGCTAATCCTTAAGAAGTGTAGGGAAACCTAAGAAATAATTACTATGACTCCTAGTTGCAGTATGAGAATGACTTTGTTGAAAAAAATGACAAAGTAAATGTTAAATTATCAAATCTGGAGCAGGTCAGCGTGTCAGTGAGACCAGAGGGAAACTAAGAAAGATAAGTAAAGCCAATAGGAAAGGAGGAAAAGGTTTGCTTTTAAGTTTTACCAGTAACAATTTGTTATAAGATTTGGCTTTATGTTTTAAATTGTTTCTTACCCATTCAGTTGCATCACTTGGTATGCGCAAAAAAATAGAGTACATGCTTTATAAAATTTGTTGAAATAAAGTATTAACTAAACTTTAGGTGTATCAGAATCACGTGGAAGGCTTGTTAAAGTCAGACTGCTGTGTCCATCCCCAGACTAAATGATTTCAGTTTTTCTGGAATGGGGCTCAAGAATTTGCATCTCTAACAAGTTTCCAGGTAATGTGCCACTTGTGGTCTGGAGACCTCACTTGAATGTAAACCAATGATTCATAATTCTCTATTTACTATCCCTCCCAAGAAATAAAATTAAAGTACATTATCATTTTTCTTTGCTAACAACAACAAATATATAGTCTAGTCTATAAAGGTCTGCATCATTCCTTTGATTTAAAAAAAAAAAATAACCAATAAAAAGATACATGTTAGCCCTGGCCAGTTTGGCTCAGCGGTTAGAGCGTCGGCCTGCAGTCCAGAGAGCCCTGGGTTCGGTTCCCGCTAAGGACTCATACCTCAGTTGCAGTTTGTCCCCAGCCTTGGTTGGGTTGTGCAGGTGGCAGCCACTCGATGTGTCCCTTTCACGTCGATGTTTCTTTCTCTCTCTCTCTTCCTCTCTCTCCCTCCCACTCTATCTGAACAAAAAATGGAAAAATGTCCTCAGGTGAGAATAAAAAAAAAAAGATATATGTTAGAGCCTTTGTCAGTGAAACACTAATAATTCACTGTGATAACGTATGTGAACTGTGATTTCTGTAAGAAAAAGTTTAATTGATACTAATCATCATATAAAATGAGTAAATTATTTGTGAACTCTGAAGGGCAGGCCATTTCTATTTGTCAAAGAAGAAAGAAGTTATTTCCACATGGTAAATTCAGAAGAAAGGCTTTATACTTATTGTTTGAATTATTTCTGCAAGTTTTTCCTATATAGTGTTGCAGCAGTCAAACTAACTTTTCCAATTCATCTATGATTACAGACAATACAGCCACACTGCTATCTACCGAATTAAAATGTTGACTTTACTTCAAAATTTATGAATGCTGTTTTTTTGAAATAGTTATTTGAATACCTGGTATGATCAAATTTTAATGCTGGAAAGTTTATCAACTTATCATCTGCTTCACTCCCCTTAGTTTACGGACATTCAGTCTGAGTGTTCTGAAATATACTTCAGTTTGGAGGCCTAGACAGAACTGGAAACTCAGTGTCTTGATTTCTAGTTTGGTATTCTTTCCATTACCCTTGGTATTTACTTTGCAAAGGTATTTGGAATCAAATATTTGTTTGATGAAGTGTTTAAGGTTCACATATACTAGCATTATATAGCAGGATAGGAACAGATAGTTTGTCTGGTACAGAGACAATAAACTTTGTGCAATTATTTACTTTCTTTATCTCTGTTTTCTTAATCCATTATTATCCAGATAAGATCAATTAAAAATAACAGGACCTTGGTTTCTTTCTTATAAATATGTTTAGGGTCGTCTTCATAGTACTTGTGGAAATAATCAGAAGAAACTACATATATTTTTGTCACATGATGCTAGAAATAGGGCTGTATGTTTCTTTATTCTTCTGGTGAAATTAAATATAGTCCCATTGCCACTAATAGTAAAGGAGTCATTTGAATATTTAATGTACTTCTGTACAATCAAGATTTATTGTTAAATTTGGTTTTCTATCTGTTTTTATCTGCTCTATTTTTCTGTTTTAATAGTAAAGACCAAATATTCCTATATTGACATTATTGAGAAATAAGACTTTCATAGAGCTTATTTTATTTCACTTGTTACATAATTACTGGGGGCAACAGGCAGATGTAGCTAGGGGGGTGAGGCTGGGACCATGCCCAGAGACTGTCCAATAGCAGCATGGCTCACGACTATTCAGTAGCAACATGGCTCTAGTCACTAGTTCATGGTGGTCGGCAACAGAGCAGTGGGCAAGACATGCTACTCATGAGCTATGCCATTGACACCTTCCCAGAGGAGTCGGTGCCCACCATCTTCCACTATTACACAGTCAGCATCACCATTAAAGGGCAAGAAGTACATCCTGGGACTCTGGGACACAGCCGGACAGGAAATTTATGATCACACAGAAAACTAAGGTCGTCTCATCCAGTGACTGATGTCTTCCTTATATGCTTCTCTGCAGCCAGCCTCCTTTCACAATGCAAAAGGAGTGGGTGCCAGAATTTGAGAAGCATGTACCGAACGTACCCTTTTATTACTAGCAACTCAGATCGACCTGCGAGGTGATCCCAAAACTTTAGTAAGACTGAATGGAAAGAAAACCTATATGTGCAGAACAAGAACAGAAACAATTTTAAGATAGGAGCATGCTGCTTTGGACAATGTTCAGCTGTAACCCAGAAGGGACTGAAGACTGTATTTGATGAGGGCCATTTAATTCTCAAAAAACACAGGGAAAAAAAGAATAGGATCAAGATGTATATAAACTGTTGTTTGATTATGTGAGAAGTATCTTCATTAGTCAAGGAAATGGTCCATTTCTCTGAAAAAGCATACAAAATGCTACAGTTATACCCATACCTCTTATGGATAATGAAGCTGTTTAAAACATGAAAGAAGGGAGGAACCCTGTCTTCAGCATTCTATAAAATCAATCAAGAGTGTGTCCTAAATGTCCAAGAAGCAGCAAACAGAATCTGAAGGCACAATCTATTATAAATACTTTATCTCAACTAGAAGGTACATGATCTCTCAAGGGTTTCATAGTTAAAAAAAAAAAAAAACTGCAATCACATCATGTTGTAACTATGTAACAAAGCATGCTGTAAATGGAACTGCCTGTCTTGACCATACACACTTCTGCACAGTCTTTATGCAAGCTGCACAAGAAATATCTTCTCCCTTTGCTCCAGCTCATTGTTTTTGTGTGTAAGCCGCTCTCTATTCCAATACAAGCAGAGTGGTGAAGTAACAGGGCCAGCCACATAACCGAAGGTCACTGCACGCGTACAGGAGATGGACCATATCTGAGAAGTAAATGTATAAGATAAAAAAGAACAAATGTTTTCTTATTACTTAAGTACAAGTTAAGAATAACAAATATTTCTATATTGAACTTTAATGTGCTTTCTTAAAAGATGCCAAAGTGTAATGATGTCATAATTGCATTTATCATGAACACAAAAATGTACATATATTAGTTAATGTGCATTAAATTATAACAAGGCTTCTGGCAGTTAGAATAATTACTAAGATACTACTTTTTATTTTGCCTTATATTAATTGGTAATTCTGCCAGTAACCATAAGTAGTACCCTAACAAGTCTTTGGCTGAGTATTGATCTGCATATGCATGAGATACAACTGCGGAAGGAAAGTAGTGGACTGCACAACAGGATGGGAATAATTCACATTCCTAATACGGGGCATCAGGTAGAATTATCAGGAGGATAATTTACACCCTGAAAATGGGGTTTACTGAGTCCTACAGGAAAGTCTTCTAAATCTGCTCTAACAAAACTTACAAGCAAACCTAGAAGAATCAAAATTATCTCAAATAACTGCATACCAAAAAAAAAAGGTCCAACACTGTTAAAAGGATTACAAGAAAATCCAGCACTCACCAAAGTAAAATTCACATGTGTTAGTTTTCTATGGCTGTTGTAACAAATCACCACCAATTTAGTGTGACTTAAAACAGAAATTCTCTCACTTGTGGAGAGTTGTGGAGGCCAGAGTCTGACATTAAGTTAAGCACGGAGAAAGCCGAGGGAAAGTGTTGTGATCCAGATTATACAGTGGCTGCAGGCGGGCACAAAGAAGTTCCCCAAAACAGAAGAGAACTCTCATAGAAAGGCTTTTCCTCTTAAATTTCTGTCTACTGAAAATGAGCTTATCAGAGTATTTTAAAAGGTAGTCAGAAGATTCAGATTATTAATATAAAGTATCAAATGCATGTGTTTGTAGAGAAATATATCTCAAAAAGAGACATTGTGAGTATACCAGGTTATCATGGTGAAGTTATATAATTGGGTTGTTCCATTGAGCTTTTCCTTTTTGTAAAATTGTTGCTCCTCTAAAGAATTTGTTTCAGATGCATCTGCTTAGCACAGAGAATGGGAACTAAAGGTAGTATAAAGCAATTCTAAGAAAGTGAATAGTATGTGACCTTTTTTTTTATTTGCTTCACAAGTAATTTACTTTAAAAAATTAACATCTGCTATTTTGAAGCTAATCTTAGTGTATTGAATGCTCTTAACCATTTCTCAATCCCACAGTCTTTTATCTTGCTTCTCCTGCTGTGTTCCCACCACCCCTGATCCCATTAGCAAACCTTGAGACCGCCTCAGACTTACCAAAGTACTGCTTTGGTTTCAGCTGCTCTTCTGCAAGAGGAAGTGAATGTTGGGGGTTTTCTCTGTGGTACAGTTGTGATAAAGCTGTGGTGGTCTTATCTCTCTCTTAGGTAGTGGCTCTTTATGACTACACAGCGAATCGATCAGATGAACTAACCATCCATCGTGGAGACATTATCCGAGTGTTTTTCAAAGATAATGAAGACTGGTGGTATGGCAGCATAGGAAAGGGACAGGAAGGTTATTTTCCAGCTAATCATGTGGCTAGTGAAAGTAAGTTTTATGCTCCCTTCCTGGTTTACTAATATGGTATAACTGATAGTACAAGATTTTATCATTTTTCTACCCTATAATTTACTGTCTTTGTAACTTTTGCATATGTTTACCAGTGGTTATTGCTTTTCATTTTCATGATGCAAAAAATAAAAATAAAAGGAGGCACTAGTACACCAGAAAGTTATTGCATTCTAGAATATTTGCTTCATGGACTTCTCATCCCAGGACCTACCCATCTACCTACAGCCACCTTCAGCGCCCCCCCCCCCCCCCACCTGCTTCATGCTCTTCACGCACCATCATATCAGCTCTTCTCTTGCCACAGTGACTACTCCGCTGACAGGCACTTTAAGAACCTCTTCCATTCTTTTACTTTATATACCTCAGGCCTGATTGTGACCCATTGCCTGCCTACAGTAGGTTGTTTCATTCCTCGTTTGTGAAAGAATACAGAAAGGAGCTGGGGAAGGAATTCTAAATAGTTTCTGAAAGTGGTACATTTACTACTACCTATAGATTTCACCTTGAGAGGTGAAAATAGAACACACAGAGCCTGGAAATAAAGACTAGAAAAAGGGGAAGAAATACAGTAACACTTCTTCAGAAGAATGCTTCCTATCAGCAATTAACTTCTAGTGTGGTAGGAAAAATACAATCTTCAGGGGGTCAGAAAAACTGATTTCTAATCCTAGTTTCTCCACAGCTATTACTGATATGCCTCAGTTTCCTCCTATAAAAATTAGTGAGTTAAGCTTTGTCATCTCTAAGTTTTTTCCCAGAAATACTAAAATCATTTAGTTCTGATTTAAAATGTAGTATAGACAGCCTTGAGATTAGCATATTTATTATTAAGCCTTTTGTTTCTGCAAAGAAGTAATTATTATAGATAATAGGTGCTTTTCACAGTCTATGAAACTCCATTTAACCCCAAAAATAGCCAAATAAAAGTACTGATTCCTAAACTAAGGTCTAAATTTTTTAGAGCAAAGGAGATGGCAGAGGGAGAATTCCCCCCTTCCATGAGTACTGGATGCTGACTTAAGCCCAGATGAAATATGTACTCTTTGGCCCCTTCCCACCACCTTGTCTGTATGCTGGTACTTCCCAGTCTCCCCTGTCCTGTCTCTCAGGGCTCCCGGTCTCACTGCACCTACCTTCCTCAGATTATTTGCAACTCCCCTCAGAAGTTCCAGATGTCTCAAAAATTACCTCTTCTCTCACACAACAAAATTCTGTAGTTCCTCTGTGTCACTGTCTCAGTACTCATTCTCTGAGTAGTAAATGACTGATAACTCTAAAACTGTATTGCAGGTATATTTTTATGTTTAAAAGAAGATATATAATGGAGAAAACATAAGGCAATGTGGAAGGACGGGTTAATTCCCAGTCATCTCCCAAAAGATCTGCACTTCTAACGTCCAAATTGTCTCAAGTATCTCGTTCCCAATGGTGGCTTTCCCACAGGGTCAACAGCTGGAATTCAGCTTCTGTTTTTAAACCAAGAGCTGCCTACACAATCACAGTTTGTCTAGAGTATATCTATCATTTTAACTAGAAATTACAATTCGTTGTTAATCCAGATATAAATGAAAACAAAGTTTTTAAACTTGACCATGTAAAAGGATTGCCTATTTCTAGGCAGAATGATATTGGGTGCTTTAACTTTAGAATCTAATTAGTTTGCAGGAATACCTCTTAGTCTTCCAAATCTGGAGAGGGTATAGATATTTAATCTGTAGTGGGTTAAAAAACCAATAAAATTTTTCTTCCATAATATCCCAAGTGAGACTTCTGAAGCCGAAGCATGCTGTAATGATAGATATTGGTATGTACAGAAATTGATATTCTCACGTAGTGACTGTTCTTCAACTGCCATAATTCCTTATTGTATCCCAGAATAATTGATGTTTTCTTTGGGCATCAGTTACTGCTTGTAGGAAATTCCTTGTAAAGACCAGAACAAACAGAAAAAAATCCTCAGATAACCTGAGAATATGATTGAATTCTCACTTCATTGGGGATTTTTTTTCTCCTTTTCTCCTACTTTTTACCTGAGTTTAACAAAATCTTGCCTGCTTTGTTTTAACGTTAGAGAAAAAAATGACTGTTAGCAGCATATTTCACTCTAAAAATAGTAAAAATTGTCCTTTATCCATAGCCAAGTATGCAAAGCAAATGATCTAAGGAAGTATGTATTTGAATAGAACCTGTACCAACTGTTCACTTGAGAGCCATGTCTGCTAAAGGGCTGTACAATAGAAGGCATAGGTACCCCGTTATTATAAAGGCCTTACTCCCTTTTTATCTTAAGCCACTGGGAAGAAAAACATCATCAGCTTCCCTTAATCACATCTAACATCCTTTCCAATAAGAGAGAAAGAAAGCCATATTGAAATCAACCCATACACAAAGCTAATTAATATATCTCATAATCTTAGAAATTTGATTAGGTGCATTTTAACAATTTCTCTTAGCTCAGAGTTGCCCAAATCATTTAACCAAAATAGATTTTCTTTTTAGCCCTATAAATTCTCACCTGACTTTTTAGATTCAGCACTGTGTGTAGACTAAATAGATTATATAGATTATAATTTTACATTATAATAATCTCAGATTCAACATTGTGAATAGATTCAGTATTGTGTGTAGTCCTTGCCCCATGCTTATTTATTTCATACCATCTTCCCAAATTAATTATTCTTTCTCCACACCTCTGCCTGGCAAAATTCTCCCTATTCTTCAGAGTCAAACACACACACTATTTCTTCCATTAAGCATCTACCATCCCTACATCAGAGTTTTTCTTTGTTATTATCTCTCTCTTAAGTGGTGTCACATTCCGTTTTATATTACAGTTCTCTGTGAACCTATGTCTCTGACCAGACTGTAAGCTCCTTGAGAGCAAAGACGGTTGGATCATCTCCGCATCCCCTCCCGCAGCACCTAGCAAACAGCCATGCATGCAGCAGGTTCCTGACATGAACATAAAATGAAATAAGAATCTGCATAACCACATAAGTCAGGATTCCTATCTTTATGAAATTCTGCTGATCAAAACTTTAAAACTATAAGTTATGTTCTTTTGATAACTAATGTGTAAGACTACAAATCACCTTAGCTTAGTTTTATATCAGTTTCTTTAGTTTTATATCTGCCCCTTCCATCATTATTTCTTCCCCCCATGAAACGGTGCTCTTCGGTTTGATTACTTGACTTTCTTTTTCAATTCCAGCACTGTATCGGGAACTGCCTCCAGAGGTGAAGGAGCGATCCCCTCCTCTAACCCCCAAGGAAAAAACCACAATGGAAAAACTTTCTTCATCTTCTCAGAAGGTAAATTTTTTCAAGAAAATGTACAGCATACGTACTTCATTTTTCACTTTCTCTGGATAAAATATTACTTTATTTTTCATGCTTACATTCTTTATTTTTTACATTATTTCTCATAATATTGGCACCAACATTACGAAATATATAAGGCAAATATTATTATAGCATTTTCCAGAAAAGGAAATGAGGAGGCTCAGAGATTAAAGTGACCTCAAGTCACAGCCCAAGTAACAAGACAAAGACCCAGAGTAGAACTTGCAACTTTAAGTGGGATGCTATTTCCACTCTGTCTTCATTTCTGTAGCATTGATACCGACACTGTTATTAGCCCCACCTCAGAGGGTACACATGTATACTGAAGGTCATTGAAGCCCACAGAATAAAGATGTTCTGTCTTCCTGGAGCATTCCTTTTACTTGCTAGGAATTTAAAATATTTTCAGATTAAAATGAGTATGAATATATTCTCGGACAGCAAAATGTCATGTTTTTTAGCCTGGACCTTCAGATCCTTCAGTAAGTATTCTTCTGATGTTAATAGTACTTTGATACAAAGTTTAATGAGCAGTGTACCATCATGTATATTACTTCTTGAACTTATTTTATTTTGTGACATTAGCTTTTGCCTTCGACTGAATAACTTCACTTCTTGATAACGTAAACTGTTGTATAGTTTTCTGACAGTGGAACCTGTCATGTACCATCATTAGTCATTTAGCTTATATTTACTGAGTGCTTACTTCCATACTAAGCAATCCATTAGTCTTCACTGAAACAGGATTGAGTAGGCAAAGCACTTGCCCTTGAGCTAGCAGGCCGGTGGGTGAGATACCTGCAAGTAGGCAATTCCAACAGACTATGGTAGGAACTGTAATGAAAATATGTGCACAGTGTATTGAGAGCACAGAGAAAGAAACCCTCTAAACCTGCCCTAGGGAGTACAGGAAGAGTTCCCAAGGAGGTCATGTTTGAGCTAAGGCTTATAGGATGAAAAAGTATGTGCTAGAGAGATGATCTTAGAAACAACATTCCAGCAGAGGGGACAACTTGAGTATGGTGTGGTAAGTGTAGTTATTTTGTGGAAGATAGGCCTGATGGAGAGAAGCATAGGAGAAATGTAGAAGTCAAGCCATGGAGAGCCTAGTGTACTCTGCTAAGATGCTTAGTATTCGTCAGACGATTTCCCCTCAAGAAGGGAATTTAGGAAATGACATGTACAGATCTGCATGTGAAAAATACCATTCTAGTGACAGCATAGTGATTGTCTAAGACCTGGGACAAGGAAATAAGTTATGAATCCATCGAAATAAAATATAAAAGCCTGAACTCATTGGGGTAGAGGGAAAAGGTATAATTGACAGGATTTTATGGTTGATTTGATGTGATTAGTGAGGTTGTAATCTAGGAATTGTGCTAAGGGCCCTGGCTTATTATATAAATGAATGGATGGTGGTACAACAGAAATAATAAAAAAATAAGGAAGATTTGGGGAGATAGAGACAAAGAATGGTAGGAAGTAGTATGTGATGAGCTCAGTTTTAGATATCTTGATTGTCCGTAGTGTTTGTAGTGCTCCCAGGTACAAATATTCACTAGGGAACCAGACATATAGGATTGGAATTTAAAAGAAGGTCGGGCTTCAGAATAAAATAGGGAGGAGTTAGTGTTTTTATTATATTGCACCAGTAGAGTTGAGGCTTGTAATGAAGGAGATACAACAAACATTGTAGACTTCTGAGAGAAGAGTCTAAGGACAGAATTCCAGTTGAACACTAGTATTTAAGGGACAATCAAGGGAAGAGGAGAATATTAAGAAAGAATCATCAAAGGGGAAGGAAAGATCCAGAGAAAAAGAAGTGCCCTGGAATCCAGGAAGAAGAGAGGTTCCAGGAGGGTATGTCGTCAGTAGTGTGCAAAATGGCCAGTCACGTCAGTTGTCCAAGCATTTGGTAATGGAAGACCTTGGCACCGTTGCACTGGTATCAAGAGTTGATGATAGTGTGACAAGGACTGAAGAGTAAATGGGGCCTCAGCGAGTGAACTCATGGAAGTCATTCCCAGGGCTTCACTTGAAGAAAGAAAGAAGTCAAGCAGTAGCTAGAGGAAGACCAAGTTCCAGGAATGACTTTTAAATACTGGTGTGACACATACAATTATATTCTAAGAAGACATAGCCAATGGACTTGTTCATGTTTAAGACAGATAAACAAAGCACTTGTGGATCCTGGAGAAAGCAGGACGTTTTTATTGAAAAGACAAATTGATAGATTATTATTGGCTTAGAGCAGTGGTTCTCAGCGGAGGGTGATTTTGCCTCCAAGGAGGCATTTGGTAGTGTCTGGATATATTTTTGCAAATAGCTGCAAGGAGGGGGATACTACTGTCTGCTATCATCTAGTGAGTAGAGGTCACAGATGTTGCTAAACATCCTGGAATGCATGGGACAGTCCTCAACAAAGGATTCTGGCCAAAGGTGTCAATAGTACTGAGCTTAGAGCAGTACCCCTCTGAGACAGATGCATGTGAGTAAGGATGTAGTAAGTAAGTTAATAAAGTGGGAGTCTAGAAGTTAAGGATAGTGTTATGTTCTCAAACACAGAAAGGAAGGTCCGCTTCAAATGTGAGGGTGAAAGGTGTGAGACAGGAAGAATGGTGACTGTTGGCATACCTGTGAGCACGGGAGGTGCAGGCGCTCTTTTGGGACATAAAAAGAGATTTCTAAGTAGTTCTGGAGCTGCTGTTTGAGTACCATAAAAATGGAAGGGACATAATTCTATGTAGTTGGATTTTTTTCTTTAGTAGTGATCAGCATCTAGGACATAGCAGTGGAGAGACAGGTTTGGTTTGATATATAATTGGAGTTGTGGGAGTGATAGAAGCCAAGAGGATAAGAGACTTGATAGAAATGCTAAGAGAACCACTGGAGTGACACATTAGGGAAGATGAGCCAAATTGGAAAGAATGTGGAATCAGAAGACTGGTCAATGTAGAAAGCAAGGTTCTCTGCGGGGTTGCTGTGAGCCACCCACACCCAGGCGGAGGCACAGCCATGCAGCAAAGGAGTTAACCACCTGGAACTGTAGCCTGTCAGTCAAGAAACTTGTTTCATTGGTATTTCAGATGTTAAGCAGCTCAAGGTTATGATAAATTCTTGGAGTTGTATGTTAAGAGCTGAAGTTGAAGGACCTGTGGTTAGAATTGAGCTGGCCAAGGAGTCAGGACCAAGTTGCTTAAATTTTCACTTGGATATTGAAATTCCAGAATGATTGAAAGAGTTGGGGTAAAGGGGACACTAAACCAAGAGCGGAAGTCCTAATTCTTGTGGGAGAGCAGATGTCTCAACCTTGGCTTTACATTGAAATCACCTAAGAAATTAAAAAAAAAAAATTCTGGTGCTTGTCCCCACACCCACAAATTGATTTAATTGGTCTAGAGTAGGACCTCAGTGTGGGTAAGATTGCAAAAGCTTTCCAGGTGATTTTAATGTGCCAACATTGAAAACCATCATATTAGAGTGACGCAGTGTCTGAAGGTGACAGCTGCTAAGATAGATGATCTTCTAGCCAGGTGTGAAGGCACCCAAGGAAGAGTGTTTTGAATGTAGAACAGCCTAAAATCAGCAACAGAGAGCCAAGAGGCCCATGCTAACTCCAGGTCCATGCTTGGAATGTGAGAATGAACAGCCTATCCTTCAAGGAACTGAAAGAAAAAGCATTTCTCGGTCAAACACCAGTTCCACAGACAGCAAGGACTTAGGGCGCCAGTTGCCTGGGACAGCGTGGGGGCTGCAAGGGATACAATGGAAGTGTTAACAAGGTATTGACTATGGTCAAGTGCTACATGTGTAATATTATCCACTGTTTAGAATTCACCAGATTTAAGAATTTAGGAAGATAATGTAAATTTCCAAAATATTTGTAACATTGCCATTAGCCAGCGGGACAGCTAATGATATTTGTAGTCTGTGTCAGGAACTGTGTGAGAGGCTATGATAGACACAGTCTTCACTTGTAGTGGCTTACTAGTATCCCTGATGCTGTATCATGCTGACCTTTGAAATTGGGGTTACCTAACCCCACCTCTGTGGGGTCCTGCCCAGTAAATAGCCTTGAAGTAATTCTGACTCAGCCACAGGATATATAAGGAATTCTTACTGGCTGCCTGTGAAGTTGGCATTGCCCCTTCCTCTTCCTCATGCTCCCGTGTTACCATGATGGAGACCTCTCGCCTGCTTCCAGGACTCCCCAGGTCTCACTACCTGTGCCACTCCTCTGCTTAGAACTCACTGCATCATCATCCTCGTTCAGACTGTAACTGACATTGTTGATCTTGTGTGCCTTTTCCTCTTATAGACTGATCTTCTTGCTTAAAATACACCTTTATATTCGTATCACAGCAGGCAATTCTTCTTGACCCTTGAGATGCCCTTCAGGCTAACCCACTGCTGCCCAAATCCTAATTCTAATAGATCTCAGGGAACTTGCAGACATGCAAAGTAAAACACTGAAAGACATAAAATAGCTAAAGCAACATTGTTGCAGAGGATAAGAATCCATTTGGACAAGGGAGTAGAAAGGTTCTCACGAAGGAGATGAACTCACATTGGGCTTTAATGTTTAAGATACATAATTTCTTTTGTCAAAGAACATGATTTGGTCTGTTTGTCTGAATCCATATGTTAGAATAGACTCCTACATGTATTTTACCTCTTAGGAATTTTCCACTTGTATAGTTTGACAATGTTTTACTTCCCTGTGGGAAAAAGTATAAAAAATGATCTACACTTATGTAAAAAGAAGTCCCTGAGAACGGGTAATGTTGTCCCAGATAGTCAAAATGCCTCAGGTACACTCTGAGTCATGACCAGCCCTTGAGAAATGTGTAACTGGGCTTCCTTAGCACCTGGCCTAGGTGCACGTCTTCAGTTTAGTTCCTCTATCAGGATACGTATGGTTTGATGTTATCAAGATCTTGCCTTATAAACCTACCACAAATTCTATCAGA